CCAGGGAAGGCTTCTTGAGGAGGGGCCTCACAACGGCCTCCTTAAGGGCCGCAGGGAAGACACCCTCCTGCAAAGAAGCGTTAATAATTCCCTGGAGCCAGGCTCGTGTACCCTCCCGAGCTGCCAGTACCAGCCAGGAGGGACACGGATCTAACAAACATGTGGTTGCATTCAGCCTCCCCAAGACCCTGTCCACGTCTAGGTGAACCCTAACAAACTACAGATGACAAGAGCCACCCCTTTTCCTGTAACTTGGGGTCTAAACTCGGGCACAACGACAACTTGGATTAGGCACATTGTTGATAGAGAAGGGGATTACTACCCTCTGGGCACAAACAGGCTTCAGCGAGACATGGCAGATAACATAATGGTTGAGAGTAGCCTTGTTACACCAACCTGGCATTTTAAAAAAATGTCTAGAACCTAGAGCCACTAGAGACCTGATAGCCAAGCAATTACAGTAGAAGCCCATGGATGTGCATCGGGACCACTTACAAATACTAGACCTGATGCCCTAGGTATGGGCCACCCTCTGCCCATCAGCATCTGATGGTCCTGCCTATCTCCTAAAATCCATCTTCTCACTCAAACGTCCAGTTCTGCTTTCGAGGGAAATATATCAATGTGCCCACTATAAAAATAAGAAAAATAATCCCCTCAACAACCAACTCATCTACACAGGAATACAGAGACTCCCAACTAAACCTTCCAAGCATTCAAACTCTTGGGGGGGGGTGGAATCACACAAAGCCTCAGAGATGAAAATGTCAAAAGTGGTCCCACCCTACCAAGTACATCCAAACAACCAGAAGAAGGCCACCAAGTGTTCCAAAACCAGTTTCTCAGTTGATGTGGCAAACAAATCAGGTTGCACCATCCCCCTGCTGTGGGCACAACTACCATCTCAGTTGCAGACCTCACAGCCCTCTGTTTATTTAATAATAAAGTAAGAAACTTCAAAATGTAAAAGACCTCTGTGTTTTACATGAACACAGAAGGACAATATGCAGAGTCTATTGGAAAAAGAAAAAAAAGAAAAACGTCTATCCACTTTATAACTTTCTTTCTATTTACTCATGATACAGTCCACTTGTGGCTGTTGCTTATCTGTCATGTACCAGTTAGCTTGGGGCACTAATGGGAGAGCATCATAGTGGAGGTAATTAAGAGATTAACAACAGATCTCACCTCCCTGCATCCTGCTCCACTCTTCCTATCTTGTAAATGGGCTGCAGTATTTGACTTTGCATATTACTGTATTTATGTCTTTTGGCTTTGTACAGTTTTTATCATTTATGATTGTAAGTCACCCATAGTTACCCTGAGGTAAGATGGGTGGCCAATAATTTTTTTATAAATAAGTAATTAATAAAACAATATAACTAATAAATAAAAGCAATTGGGAGGATTATGAAGGTAAAGTCAATCATACCCTCTATGATGTAAATAATGATGCCAAACGATTACTTCACTTGTGGAAAAAGATCAGAAAGGTCGATGAAATCTGTCCTATTGATTGAGATCTTTTATGGGAAAAGCAAACAAGTTCAGTGCCTGGCGACAACACATTGATATCACATTGAAGGACAGCAGAAATCAGTTCCCTGGTTGTTGTCTACGGAGATTCTCAATCATCCATGCCATTGTTGTTCTAAAGGTGCTTTCCCAAAAGACAACTGGACTTTCTTGTGTTTTTTTTCTCTTGAAAACATTTCACTTCTCATCCAAGAAGCTTCTCCATTTCCAGCAAAATATTTTCAAGGCAAAAATGTTTTCAAGAAAAAAAAAGAACAAGAAAGTCCAGTTGCCTTTTGGAAAAGCACCTTTGGGATTCCTTGGGTGTTACACTATGTTCCTCCAGAATCACTTTCTGGACATGTCCTGATAGGAAGGACCACAACCACTAGAGAACAGTGCCCTTAGGGATGTATCTGTGACTCTTCACTA